CAAAAAGAAAACAAATAAGTTATATAGTAATGAATTACATCAGGTTTGTTAGTAATATATAAACTCGAAGCCATAAAACCCAAAATTACTTTAGTTTTGGTCTCGTTTGAAATTTAGAGCAAATGCTTTTTCACGGATGTTATGAAGTTCGGGGACCAAAAACTAATAAAGAATTTATAAATAGGGTCTCATAATCTTAATCCTTACCAAAAACAACGAAAACATGAATAAATCATAGTTAGTCAACGAACTAATCCAATTAGGTAACACCACGTGTCGGTGTTAATACAACAAAATCCGTGTACAGAAACAATTATTGAAAGTCATGCAGCGATTTAGATCAATGTGTGTGCTTGCAATATAAATGGCTCACGAGTCTCCACCGCAAAATCCAACTCCTGACCATTACCAATTGCCTCTGCTCGGAAAAATTTCTCCCGTGATCGGCGGATTGTGAATGCCGTTCACTGAGATTTTCTCCGGTACGTTCGCATTTATCTATTTCGTCACGTGGGTCACTCTGTTTCATCCCTTCACGCTCTGTTCTAATAAATTCGTTTGAGATTTGTTCGAGATCATCTTCGAGAAAATTAGGGGTTTTGGCTCTCTAATTTTGTAGATAAACCCAACTTGTTATTACCGAAACCCATGATGAAATTCTTAATCTTTTGTTGTTTCTTTAATCTCTTGATCTCTGGATTTTGATTTCGCACACTGTGGAACATGCAATTGTTATTAGTTTCGATATAAGCTTTTTGATTCCGGTTACATGTGTTTAGTTTGTGTTACGGATTCTCTGGAAAGAAATTTATATTGCATGTTCCGTTAGTTTAGCGTTTATCCTGTTACCATTCGATCGACAAGGCTAAAGATTGTGTTCAGATTCTAATGGGTACAAGCTTCTTTTCGTGTGCCAGATTCTTTGTGGCAGTGAGAACAAGTGTTGAGTTGATAAGCTTCAATGGCCTCGATTCTTAATAAAACCCAGGAATTGCAAGAATCTTCTAAGGTTCTTGGGCATGTAAGATGTGAAAGCTTCTTTATATTCCCTGGAGAAAGTAGTTTGTCAGATGCTTTTAGGGGTGTCTTATATTTTCTCGCTCTTGCCTACTGCTTTGTCGGGTTATCAGCGATTACCGCGAGGTTCTTCAAATCTATGGAGAATGTTGTGAAACATTCGCGTAAAGTGGTTGCAATTGATCCCATTACTAAAGCTGAAGTCATCACATACAAGAAAGTTTGGAACTTTACTATTGCAGACATCAGTTTGTTGGCTTTTGGAACTAGCTTTCCTCAGATTTCTTTGGCTACCATTGATGCAATACGGAACATCGGGGAGCGTTATGCTGGAGGTATGGTTCTTTTTCGGCGTTCTTTCATTCTGAAACTCGAGTTGAACTCTAAAACTCTTCTCATACAATGCTATGTTATCTAGGTCTTGGTCCGGGAACACTTGTTGGTTCAGCTGCATTTGATCTTTTCCCCATTCATGCTGTTTGTGTCCTCATGCCAAAAGCTGGAGAACTCAAAAAGATATCTGACTTAGGTGTTTGGCTAGTCGAGTTGGTTTGGTCTTTTTGGGCTTACATCTGGCTATACATAATCCTCGAGGTACCTGTGAAAAGCTCTCTAAACAGTTGCTGTTGAATTTATACTACTCATGAGGTCTAAATTTGTGTTTCTTTTTCATGTGTCACAGGTGTGGTCACCAAATGTTATTACACTTGTGGAGGCATTATTGACAGTATTGCAATACGGATTACTTCTTGTTCACGCTTATGCGCAAGACAAGCGATGGCCTTACTTGTCTTTACCAATGTGTGTTTCTTCTCCAGACAATAGTACTAGTTTCTGCAAAATGGATTTCCACTAAAGATCGAATCTTTGTGTTTGTATTTGATAATTAAAGGTCAAGAGGTGATAGGCCAGAGGAGTGGGTTCCAGAGGAGATTGATGAATCCAAAGATGACAATGATGTTCATGACATGTATTCTGATGCCGCTCAAGAAACTGTTGAATCGGGAAACAACATTGTTGATATCTTCTCTATTCATTCAGCTAACAATGATACAGGTATTAAGTATGTTTAGGTTGTCTTTCTATTGATATAAGATCAGTTTTAGCGTAATTCCCAACTCCGTGTTATTTGCGTATATAAATCAAGTTTTCCCTGTAACGAACAAGTTTGCAGGGATCACCTATCATACAGTGGCAGATACTCCACCTGGATCTTCGACTAAGAGGGGTAAGGTGAAGAATTTTACGGTTTTCGACATTTGGAAAGATCAATTTGTGGATGCAATAACGGTAAAAAGTCTTCAACTCACCATGTGTTTTAGATTCTTTTATATCCCCTTTTGGGCTTTTGATCATTATCAACACACCTTTCTTAACATTGCTCTTCCATATCTTAATCAAACAGTTGGAAACACCAGAATCAAAGAAAGTGGATAGCATTTATCTTCGAATCGCGAAAATATTTTGGCAATTACTCCTTGCCCCTTGGAAAATTCTTTTTGCATTTGTGCCTCCTTGCAACATTGCCCACGGTTGGATCGCTTTCATCTGCTCTCTTCTCTTCATCAGTGGAGTGGCCTTTGTAGTCACAAGACTTACCGACCTTATAAGCTGTGTAACTGGTACACACATACACACATAAAAACTTTCAAAAAGTCCATCAAAAGATTCAGCATTATAGATCTTAAAACATTTGAAAAAACTTTTTTCGGTTTGCAGGAATAAACCCATATGTGATAGCATTCACAGCACTCGCAAGTGGAACTTCATGGCCAGATTTAGTAGCCAGCAAAATCGCTGCAGAGCGACAACTAACCGCAGATTCAGCCATTGCAAACATCACCTGCAGGTAAAAATCTCAAAACCCTTTTCAAACAATCAAAGATCTTATCATGATCTTTTTGGTTATCATCCCTGCAGTAACTCGGTGAACATCTATGTGGGGATCGGAGTTCCGTGGCTTATAAACACAGTATACAACTACTTTGCATACAGAGAGCCTTTATACATAGAAAACGCGAAAGGGCTAAGCTTTTCGCTACTTATATTCTTTGCTACATCAGTGGGATGTATAGTGGTGCTTGTGTTGAGAAGATTGATTATAGGAGCCGAGCTTGGAGGACCAAGACTATGGGCTTGGCTTACTTCTATTTACTTCATGATGCTTTGGGTCGTCTTCGTTGTTCTTTCTTCTTTGAAAGTTTCAGGCATCATAT